AAAAAAAAGACAGTTTAAATTGAAAAAAATTTAAACAAGGTTTTTTTTTCTTTTTCTCAATATTTCTTAGTTTACTTAAAATATATTTAAAATTTTACACATACCTATGATGACCTGGAAAAGTAATTAAAATTTACAAATATGTCTTTCTTTCTTGAGTTTAGGATTATAACAACTATTTACTGATAAAAAATTAATATTAATCATGAATATAAGCTTGTAAAGTATTTCTCCGGCTCTCCCTTTCAAACAAATAAAATAAACTGTGTTTTTAAGTTCCACCTTTGAAAATTTGATTTCCGGAAACTACTGTGATCAATGATTTTTTGAAACTTCTGGACCTTCGATCTCGGGAAACTTACGGATCACTGTTAACGAAAAATCCAGAAATCCGGATTTTTTCCGGAGCACAATCAGGCCTGTTTAATAAAAATATAAAGAAAAAACAAAATATTTTCCAGCCACATACACACCTAACAAATTTCAGATGTAAATTAAACTTAACCTTGAATTTGCATGCTTTTGCATTACAAATTAATTTTTCATCTCACTCCTCAAGGAAATGAAAATGAAATAAAATACATAAAAAATATTTACTGACAATTTGAAAAAAAAAAAAGTCGACTAATTTCAGTTTTAAAATAAACCTAATGTTCAAGTATAAATATTTAATTTAAAAAAAAGAATAAATAAATAAAAGCATATGTTTTTTCCTTTTTCTTCAAGACAGATATACTTAAAGATTTTTTTTTTAATTTTTAAGTAGATAAACAAAACCACAATGGCTCAGTGGTCAGAGGTGATTGGAGCACAAAGAAAAAAAAAAAAACTTTAAATTTAAAGTGAAAAATTTATATCAATTTATATACCATACATGTTTCATATTTAACATAATTTTTTGAACTAACATTTATAATTAAATTACCTACTATTGCAGAATATCACACCCTACGGTAACTAATTAAAGATAAAACTTATTTCTTACAAAAAGCTCGATTGAATTGCGACATTGGATTTTAAAAATCCCGTTCATATGAAACGTGATATTCAATTTTAAAAACGTGAAAATAAAAATTGCGATATTAAGTTTTTTAATTGCGTAAATACGAAACACTGTGCAAAACTTTTAGATTGCATGAATACTAATCGCAAAGCGCAGTTTTTTAAAAAAGTTTAAATGTGAAAATTGATGTTTGATATTACAAACGCGTGAATACGAATCAGGGCATTGGATTTTAAACTTGGGTAAATATTGGGTTTCAAAAAAGTGCAAATATAAATCGCGATATTGGACTTTTAAATCATGTGAATAGGAATTGCAATGTATGATTTTTAAATCGCATGAATAAGAACTGTGAAATTAGAAGATACAGGCGCAGTTTCAAATATTCAAAATGGCGAAAATCCGTCAAACCAAAAGAATAAAATTGGCGGAAGAATGTATGTAAAAGTCTTGTTAACAGAATCTAGAAAAAGCTTCAAAATTTTGCTGGATTATAAGTTTCTGATTCGTGGAACTGCACGAACCCATGCTGTTGTAATGAGCAGAATTCTACGATATTCCTGTAAAAATCGCATGGCACACTTCTAGTTTTTAGACCCAGAAAAAAGATACGATACACAATGTACACAATGCTGAACAAATTGCTGCAATATTGCATAATTAATTATAAGGAGATAATATGATATCACAGAGGATATAAAAAATCAATCTGACATGAAAATTTTATCTTTTCTAAAAATTTCCACATTAACTTAAGGAAATAATTTATTTCATTTTAATAAAAAAAAATTTAATATTGAAAACTAATTACCCCAGCTGCTTTTTGTTCTATTTCAGAAATTTTAGCCTCAGCCTCTTTTATTTGCTCTTGTTTCTCACTTATCATTTTTTTGCAATCCTCAAAACTTTGTAAAAGATTCCCTTTCTCTTCTCCAGCTCTAGAAACAGCTTCCTGAAAAGAAAAAAAAAATGCACAATTATACAATTCAAGGAGTTTCATAGATACGGTGTAAAATATTAAAAAAGAAAAAAACAGTTTTCTATGTTTTTTAATAATATATAAACTTAATATATAAATTATATCATAAAAGTAGCTTAAGAAAATTCAATACATTTTCAAGCCACATAAATATTTTCATTTCATAAATTTTGATAATTTTCCATAAAAGAAAAAAGTTGATTTTATTTATTCTACAATCTGCCTAGATACTTTAAAAATGTAAAATTTATAACAGATTATAAGTTCAGCACTAGTAAACAAAATATATCATATAAATAAAAAATATTCGTAAATAAAATGTTAATATGATCTTCATGTGAAGAGATGCTTCACTTTTCCATAATAATTAAAGGTAGGGGAGTGTCGGGTACCCCCGCCCACTGTCAATTTCATATGCATAGAATATTTTTTCAAGTCAATGGGCCATCAGACATTAATTGTTATATTAAAAAAAAGATTATTTTCAAAGTTTCAAGTATTTATGCAGCTGGTTGGTAACATGGTAAACAATAGTTTTGAAAATATGTTGAATACAGTAGTCATGAAATTAAGAAAACTCAGTTGAATTTTGTGATAAAAATGATAAATGAGGTTTATCTATTGTCAATACATTGGTCATTTTCATTTACACCTGAAAAAACAGTCAAAAATCATAATTTTTGTAACTGAGCNTCTCCATTTGAGGACAAATATGCTCGAAAAGAGCTGAAAAACACGTTTTTTTAAATTTCTATTTTTTTAAGATAAACTATTCTTTTTTGGTTTAATTCTTTTTGCAATATTTAATTAGATGATAAAACAATAGAAACATACAAAAATATTGATTATTTCTCAATATTATACAAAAATATAAGCAATACTCCTTAAGTGGGCGGGGCTACCTGACTCTCCCCTACATTAGTAAGCTATAATAAGAAATTGAATGTATTTTAATTTAAATATGAAGTTAAATTATCATATTAATTTATCTCCAATTGTTTGGAAGTAATGTTTCAATAACAATAATTTGCAATTATTTTGCTTTAGAAGTGAAATCTATTACTATAAATTCTGAAAAAACCCACTTTGAAAAAAAAAAATTTCTTCTTATAATTAGGTTTAATATTTCTTAATTTTATCTAATGTTCTAAATAATGTTTCAAGAAATTTGAAAACAATGAGAATTTTTTTTAAAAAATGTATTAAGGAATGATTACTTCATTTACCATTTTATAACTCTGTGAAATTTTTAACTGCGATAAAATAAATCTTTACAGATTGTAGAAAAAGATTCATAGAAAACTTGGAAACACTACATTGAGGATACAAGAGATGACTTATTACTGTACCTTCTAATATAATTAAAGTAACCCTTATCAAGCTTTTCTTTTTTATAAAGTCATGCAAAAGTTTGAAAAATTTTGAAACAAATAGGGTAGCATAAAGAAGATAGTTCAGGCATTGTTGCACAATTTTTAGATGTCTTATTTTTTAGATCAAATGGAGTAAGATAATAATTAATATAGAAGAACAATCTAACGTCATTGCTTAGTTACACAATTCTGATTTTTAAATAATAACATACAGTTTTTCTTAAGATCTCTCTCTTACTTTGTGCAATTAAAAGATAATAAAAATAAATTTTAAATTAAAAAAAATAAATTTTTTGATCAGATAGAAATTAGCTACACTCCAAACATACATTTCTGTGCATATTAGTGAAACCTAGCATGCTTTCAACACACGTATGTCAATGCACATAAACTTTTTTTTCTCCAAATAATAATAATATTTTCTATACAAATTTGAGTTTGCTTACATAACAAAATTAACTATGTTACTTTGACACAGGGTTGGGTTTTTGACGTCAAAAAGTGGTTTTTGACATGACAAGGGTATAATACTGGTTTATATCGTCAAAAACCCGTCAAAAACTGAAGTTTGCCAAGAAAATATATAAACTTCAAAACTACCAACAGTTGCCATGCATTATATTGAAATTTAATTATACTATAGGTAATGAGCAGGTTTTAAAATATTTTTTAATTAAAATTAAGGTAAAATAACAGATTTAAAATCTCAGAAATTTATATTCAAATGCATGTGCAGAAAAATTTTGCACAAAAATTGTTTAAATATTTATATTTAAAAAAAAAAAATTTTTTTTGATACTTAAGAAAATTAAAAGTTTATTACTATGCATTTTTGACATATAAGGAACATATAACTAATATTTATAAGGAACTTACAAGTTATGTTGTATAAATACAAACTTGATACAAGTGTATGAAAAAAAATTTTAATGTTATACCGAATATCTTTATTATCCAGTATGTTAATTTGAATTTAAAAGTAGTTATATTTGTGAATAATGATAAATATAATTCATATTGTTTATTATATTTATTTATAATTATTACACTTATCATTTTAAAACAATTTTTATCTCTTAATTTTTTTTTCTCCACTTGTATTAAGAATACAAATAATGCATATCTTGAAAGCAAGAAGTAATTATTCAACAGCTGAATATTTAGATATTCAACAAAACTATATAGTATTCAGCAAAATGAAATTCACAAGTATTTGGATAAACTAAATTTTCAGCATAGTAAATGAATAGGCTGAATATACTGTAAATCGACACTAACTACTCTGTGTATTTAACAGAAAGCACTTAAATTTGTATTGTCTTATGTTAAAAAGATTATTAAGAAGATTTAAAAGAATATTAAAAAGATTTTTCTTTAAAAGAAGATGTCTAATGTACAAAACTGCTAATGTTTATCTTTAAAAATGTCTAATTTTTAGTATAATCTATACTATACACTAAATTTGGTTATAAATAAATTTCTTAATAATATCACTGCAGATTTTCAATAACACATGAAAATGAATACATAATATTACAAAAGATGTGAGCTTTCAAAAGTACAAGATTTTGGTTACTATTCAAAATATAAGTGTTTCTTCAAAATTTTAAATTTATTTTTTCTAGAACATATTTAGAAACACTATCCTTTAAAAAATATATAAATTTTATGTATTAATTAAATTTCACATATGAATATAGGTTTTTGACATTTTCGACATTTTTGACAGTGAGGTTTTTGACGTGACGGTTTAAACCATGGTTCAAACTGTCAAAAACCGGCCAACCCTGCTTTGACACATAATTTTTAATAAAATAACAGGAGCATATTTAAAGTAAAATAACTACAAAAATATATTTAACAAAATAAAGATAAAATACTCTCATTCATTCAGATTAAAAAAATTTATAAAATACCTGATAAATTTAGAAAAAAGAGCGGCATAAAATTTGTATTCATAGTGGCATAAATTCATTAAAAGATAATAAAAATAAATTGTAAATTAAAAGAAAATAAATTTTTTGATCAGATAGAAATCAACTAATTTACTTAACAAAAAATATGTTTCATACTTCAGTTCTAGTGAAGTCCCAAGCAATATAAATTCTAGATAAATGTTCAAGATCCCTCACAACTCTCGTATATTCAGTGTATTCCTTTCTTTCTTCTTTTAATTTCTCCATTTGAGGACAAATATGCTCAGTCAGCATCTAAAAGGAAGATTATATATAATTCCATATTTTCAATTCCAATATAATTCAAATAATATGGAAAATTCGAATCATGCATTTGAATATTTATTTTTAAAGCAATAATTCTATTGAATTTTTGGAAATTATTGCTATTAATTTCTCCATAGTTTTTAAATGCGATAATTTTTTTTATCAGATATTATTAATTACAACAATCTAATCTAGAAAAGAAACACGCGTTTGAGGAGTTTGATTTACGGGATTTCATCACAGATATTTATTTTTTTTTGGCAAATTACTACTACGGATTTCATTACATTTAATCACTTTTTTTATTGTGATGATTAATTACAAATTCCGAAGAAGTAAATTATATTTTTGGTTTTCCCCCCAACAAAATGCGAGAATATCACCCATAATACTAGAATAAAAAATTATTACAAGTTCAATTAAGAAAATTATATTTTTTTTCGGAAACACAGAGTATTTGTTATTTTAGATTAGCATCGAGAGATATTAGTGCTAGAGAGTGTAGTCGCAGATAGCTCAAAAAAATTCTGCCAAAGGGGCAGTCCCATCCTTTTCCTTTGGCAAAAAAACAAAAAAGAGAGAGCAAAGGTAGGCACCTTTGTACCAAGCCAGCTTTTTCTAATATTCTTGAATAATTCAAAGCCCCTGCTCTTTTTCCTATTATTCTTTTACTTGCCTTCTTTTAGATTCCCTTGTCTCTCCTACTCATGTTTCTTTTTACGTTTCACACGAGGCCATTAATTTCATTTTAACCCAAACACAATTGTGATTTTAAAAAAATGCCTACATGCAAAAGCAAGTTATGGAAAGGACATTTAGTCGGTGTTAAACATTTGATCAATTTGGTGTTCAGTAAAATATGGTAGTTGCAATGTGATAAGACATTGCATAACAGCTACATTGTCTTACGAGACAATCTGGCGCCTATCAATCAAAAGTTGGATGTGATTCCAGCCACCAATGGGTGTTGAATTAGGGCCAATCAATTTGGTGTGTTAGTTCAGTAAAATATGGTAGTTGCAATGTGATAAGACATTGCATAACAGCTGCATTGTCTTACTAGACAATATGGCGCCCATCAATTAAAAGTTGGATGTGAGTCCAGCCACCAATGGGTGTTGAACCAGGGCCTAATTAAGGATTATTATCGTTCATTGGTACTTTAACAAAAATTAACACAATGAAAATGGTACTTTCACAAAAACTTCACAGTAGAATCAGTTCTTTCAAAAAAATTGTAATCATCCTAGCAAAATCAACTACCTTGCAAAAAGAATAAAAAATGGCATCTGTAAATTTCTATTTAACCAGTGGCACTTATGCAGAAAAATAATTTCATACACCTGCATATTTTGTTAGTCTCATGAACACATACAAGTTTAATAAACTTAAATTTATTGTAAATATACACTACCGGTCAAAAGTTTGCGAATATTTTGAAATCTACAAAAAAAAGGTCTAAATTCAAATGACCATAGAACTGCGAAAAATCATTCAAATTTGATATGTTCTAAAGTGAACCCTCTACAGTTAGTTACATATGATCAAATTGCAATACTTTGTTTTTTGCGAACTGAATCCAGCTTTTCATCATGGGTTGTTTTTTATGGTGAAAAAAGTTGTTAAGTTTGAACACTTGCCAAAAATTTTTTTTATACTTTCTGTTAATAGAAAATAGTTATTTGAACCGTTCTATGTAAGCCCTCAAAATTTCAGATCGGTTTGATTTTTTTTTTGACAAAGTTATAGAATTTTGAAAAACGTGTACTTTTCTCGATTTTTGAGCATTCCACATATGCGACCTTTTGGTCTATACATCTTCTACCAAAGAATTTTTTAATTCTAATGTTTTCTATATTTTCAAATGATTAATATTAATTATAAAACAAATATTCTTATTCATTACTGTAATTATTGTTATTACTAAGAATTTATTATGAATATAATTAAAACAGTATCTCATAGATGTCACATTTCATCGAAAATTTGTTTGTTCTTTCAAACGATGCTCTGATATTTCGAATCGAAATCAGTTATGGGACATTTTACAACAGGAATGGAACTCTATATCAGTTGAAGTGATCAGATGAAGTTATTTGTTAGAACGAATGCCACGCATATGTAAAGCTACAATAAAAGCAAAAGGTGGATGGTTCGAGGAATCTAAGATTTAAATGTTAATTTATTTAATTAAAAAATACGAATAAGAATATGTTAAATATTTGACCTGTTGTAAATAAAATAGTTTAGTAAAAATGCACATTTTTCATACTATTGTTATTATTTTTTAAGAATTATTTATGTAATTATTGTTATAACTTTTTATTTTAATTTAATGTAAATTAAAAATATCACAACAAAACTAATACACATAAGCAATATATATAAACAATAATAATTACAATAATGAATAAGAATATTTGTTTTATAATAAATATTAATTACCGTATATTCCGGCGCATAACGCGCACCCTTAATTTCTAAAAATTTTTTTTTTTCATTTTAAGATATACTCTTCGTATAACGCGCACAAAAATTTGGATTGTACATGTGCAATATCTCGTCCTTCAAAATCGTAAATAAAAAGTTTTTTTTCCCTATCTTTTGCAAAAATAAAAGAACTGAATTCGACATGTATGTGAGGGTAGAGTTGAAAGAGTAATAATGTGATTCTGAGAAAAGAGATTGTTGTATTCAGCAGTGCAGAATGTTGTTCCCCACATTCCTGAAGTAAGGGGAGGAGGGTTATTTAATGTTATTTCTTTAAAATAAAAGTATTGTTCTATATTTAAATTTTTTTGATCTATAATTTTTTATGTTCGGCGTATACCGCGCACCCGTAAATTCCAATGTTATATTTGTATTAAAAGTGCGCGTTATACGCCGGAATATACGGTTTTTGAAAATGTAGAAAACATTAAAATTAAAAAGTTCTTTGGTAGAAGATGTATAGACCAAAGACTGCATATGTGGAATGCTCAAAAATCGAAAAAAGTACACACGTTTTTCAAAATTCTATAACTACGTCCAAAAAAATCGAATCGATCTGAAATTGTGAGGGCTTATATATAACAGTTCAAATAACTATTTTTTATTAACAGAAAGTATAAAAAAATTTTTTTGCAAGTTTGGCAAGTGTTCAAACTTAACAAATTTTTTCACCATAAAAACAATCCGTGATGAAAAGCTGAATTCAGTTCGCAAAAAAAACAAAGTATTGCAATTTGATCATATGTAACTAACTGTAGAGAGTTCACTTTAGAACACATCAAATTTTCACACATTTTTCGCAGTTCTATGAACATTTGAATTTAGACCTTTTCTTTGTAGATTTCAAAATTTTCGCAAACTTTTGACCGGTAGTGTAGACGTGTATTAATTCAAAATAGTAGGTGTCGTGTTAAATAAGAATATGTATAGTGCTATGAAGAGTTGTAAATAAGCATTTTAATAGTTTTTTATCAGTAAAGAAAATAATTCCTTCAAAATATTTTTTTTTTCCATTTCTATACTTGCGAACATATTTTTTCACAGAAAATTATAATATGCTAAAATTTTTCCCAAAATAAAATTTTTCTAAAGTTTTTGCCAAAAAATAAGTATTAAGCTAAAAACTCTCTCTCCACACCAACTTTTCAATAATGGATTAAATCATTAAAATGCTGCAATGTTCTTCGTTTGCCCTAGCAGAGAAAACAATTTCAAGGCAGATTTAAATTACCGTGTTGATTTCTCGAAGTCTTGAATCTTTCTTTTCCAAATTTTTAAGAGCACTTTCTTTTTTATCTTCATACATTCTTGTTCCAGCAGCTTCCTCAATCATGGACAAAATCTATGAAATTTAATCAGAGTCAATTGAATTATAAATGTTAGGCATGTTTACAATTATATTTTAGAAAAAAAAATATTAAAGTTAACTGTGATGTAAAAACAAATGAAATTTTTAAAAGTATGGAAGAAAATATTAAAAAATTTTTAATTCAAAAAATTAACTGCTACTAAAAAAAAAGCCAGTTTTTCAAAAATTGAAATTTTTAAACTATTAAAAAACTTGTTACATTATTAGAACAAAATATTTTTATTTAAGTAATGTAGGTACATTTTTATTATTATGTGGCTTTCTTCAAAAATAAAGAAACATTTTCCTAACCTTTTTAAGTAGATTTTAAAACAAAAATTAATTATTATAAAGTTTATAACTATTAAAATTTAGGAATTGAGTTTTTTAATGAATAATGCAGACTAAATGTTTACTAATCTGAAATAATTCTGTTATTTGTTAATAAATATAAAAAAATATATTAAATATTAACTTAAACTTGAATGGTGCGTTTGATAACCAAATTCAGACTACGGGAAATTTTAATAACAGCTTTCTTATGTAATAAATGAAACAAGAAGTTGAAAGCATGTGTTTTGGAACACATAAGTTTTTGAATTTTCAGTTAAAAAGTGGCGACCAACAAATTTTTTATCGCTATTTTTTATTAAAATAAGTAGCCAGTGACGACCGTTAATCCTGCCCTTTAACTGCCAAAGTATGTTAAAAATAAAGATTTAAATCATTTTTCTTCATTATTATCATTAATACAATATAAGGTCAATTACACGAATCTCTGGCTTCTGAAAATGTCTTATATTAGAAAAATGTTGCTCTATGTTGAAGTTATGTGAAATTATTTCCAATCAAGCAAATATTTATAAGTTTCTTACTTCAAGTGGCTTCATATTCAGTACTTTTGTTATACGTCCTTGCATGATAAGGAAGTGAGGATTATTCACATTGAGTTGTACAGATTGGAATAAGTCGTGAACACGGTTATTGTTTGCATTTGAACGATTAATGGCATATTTGGATTTCCCTCCTGTGATTACCTACAATGAAAATGTATATTGCAGAAAGTACAAACTTAGGAAGTAATTAAGAAAAATAAAATAGATTTTAAAAATATACAGTGTCATCATATCATTAATATGTAGACCCAATAAGTCAAGGTTAGAGGGGGGGAAAGGGATTTTATTAGGTTTATGATGAAAAACCCAGGCTCTTTCAGTTTTTTTTTTCCAGCAATATTTCATAATTTCATTCCTGAGTGCTAAATGGGATATCAAGATTTGCTTCTAAAATTTAAATGTTGGGTAACTATTTATTACTTATTTTGGTGCAATGTAATATTTTTATGGGGGAATCTTTAGATTGTCAGGTTATTATTTTTATCTCATTTAATTTTTAATGTAAAAATTATCTCCTAATGAGAAAAAAAAATTTCTTGATAAGAAAAACAAAAAACTTTCTTTAATGAAATCTTAAAATTCAAATGTCTAGGTCTGGTTGTATCTGACAACTATGATTCACTTGGGTTCAAGTACTTTAGAGGCACTAAGCACAAGCCCAAAGGACTTCATATTATTATCCACTAAATCAGCAGAATATCAAAAGCATTAGCCAAATTTCAGAAGTCTTAACCAAAGGCAAATTTTAACTATTTTTTATGATTTATTTTTTCCCATAGAAAACTGTAAATCGAAAAACAAATTAACTACAAAGTGAATTATTTGAGGATACTTATGTAACGTGATCTGTAGCAGAATAATCGCAAAGTTTTGGCAACTTTCTGGCTTCAGCCCAAGAGAAAACCTAAAAAAACATCACAGAAAGGGACCAACTGCAAAGATACAACTCGTATAGAATATGTTAAATATTTGACCTGTTGTNCTCCTAATACTATCAGGGGTCTATCCAGACATTTTGTGAAAGGTCCGTTTTTGTAAAATTGTGAAAAAAATTACTCGTAATTTGTGAATATAAAATAACGTTAAGTCACATTCTTTCAACAAGGGTCCGCTTTTGTGAATTTGTAAAAAATGGGTCCGCTATTGCAAAAAAAAATTTTCAAGGAGTTTTTAAATTTTAAAGACAAACAAGATTATGCTCAACACTGTAAAATTATATTTAAAAAATTTACATTTTCAAAAATAAATAGCAATTGCTGCTGCTAAATTAGAGATGCAACACACAAATATTTGGTATTCAGCCTATACTGCTGAACACAGAATATTCATTTCGGACGAATAAAGGAAGAGGAGTCCGCCGAAGACAAAATTTAATTCGTTTACATCTGTCTTTATCCTACCCCCTTCCTAAGAAGGGTTTATTCGATTAACAAAACAATAATGAAGATAAACAAATTTGTGAAGGGTCCGGTTAAAAGATAAATTATTTTGTGAAGGGTCCGTTTTTAAGTTAAAATGTTTTGTGAAGGTTCCGTTTTTATGAAAAGATACTTTGTATATGTTGTTTTTTTTTAAAAAAAAATTGCAAGTTTATTGGCATCTTCACGACTACAGTTGGCGCAACAGACCAAGATACGGAAAGATACTTTTTTTTTTCTAATCTGGCGACTGCTAATCTGGCCTTTCACATACCAACTACAGTCATGCATTAAAAGGGGGGAACTACAATAACCAAGGTGCTAAATTAGGGGAGCACAACCTTTTTGAGTGAAGGCAGGGGTCTGTCTAGGTTTTTCTGAGAGGTACCTATTTTGTGAAAATTTAGACATAATTTGTGAAAAATTAAAAATTATATTAAAAAATCAACACAAAAATATGGATTTATCGTTTCTTAAGGGATACAAAAATAAAATTTTAAGAAAAAGTATTTTGTGAAACTACCGTTTTTCCNCAAGATTATGCTCAACACTGTAAAATTATATTTAAAAAATTTACATTTTCAAAAATAAATAGCAATTGCTGCTGCTAAATTAGAGATGCAACACACAAATATTTGGTATTCAGCCTATACTGCTGAACACAGAATATTCATTTCGGACGAATAAAGGAAGAGGAGTCCGCCGAAGACAAAATTTAATTCGTTTACATCTGTCTTTATCCTACCCCCTTCCTAAGAAGGGTTTATTCGATTAACAAAACAATAATGAAGATAAACAAATTTGTGAAGGGTCCGGTTAAAAGAAAAATTATTTTGTGAAGGGTCCGTTTTTAAGTTAAAATGTTTTGTGAAGGTTCCGTTTTTATGAAAAGATACTTTGTATATGTTGTTTTTTTTTAAAAAAAAAAATTGCAAGTTTATTGGCATCTTCACGACTACAGTTGGCGCAACAGACCAAGATACGGAAATATCCCCAATTATTTTATAAGCTGCATAGTACTTTTTTTATTCTAATCTGGCGACTGCTAATCTGGCCTTTCACATACCAACTACAGTCATGCATTAAAAGGGGGGGGGAACTACAATAACCAAGGTGCTAAATAGATTTTAAACTTGCACATTTAAAGGGGAAAAAATGGGCCAGGGATAGCTACGAGTTATACCTTTCGAGTCGGTATCTTTCTGTGATAGTTTTTCTGGTTTCTCGCTGACCACTAGTTGCCAAAACTTGTGATTATTCTGCCACAGATCATGATACGGAAATCTCCGGAGTCTTTTATTTCGTTGATGTATTTTCCTTAGTTTTTAGTCGGCCACTGCCTAAAAGTCACCACTAATTGGCGATTATTTAAGCTTGCATCACGATATGAAAATCGTTTTGGGCCACTGCAAGGAAATCCATAAAATTCAGCGATTATTTTTGCGTAGATACTGATATTGAAACCTTCCTCCGAAAACTAGTGAATGAGTAAACTTACCGTTCTGGTGACTTCAATTTCTGAACAGTTATCATATCCAATTGGACTTGAGGGCTTATCGGAATTATCAAATGTTATGGTTACTGTTGCTTTGTTGATTCCGGCTTGTCCATTTTTATAAACAAGCTCGTTTAAATTGGTGGCACGAACCTGTTCAAAAAAACATAAATTAAAGAAACATGTCATGTACGAAATTGAAAATTATTCCTAGCATAAAAACTAATAATATTAAAATAATTTACTTGTTGCAAATTTTGTATGCCTAAAACGAAGCATATCGAATCCAAAATATTGGATTTTCCACTTCCATTTAGTCCAGTAATAGCATTAAATTGAGGATCAAATCCTTTTATTTCCACCTTCGAACCATATGATTTAAATCCTTCAAGGGTAATACTTTTTATATACATCTTGATTTAACTGATATCGAAAGATTAAAATAAGGAATATATGAATAACATAATATTTCTCTTGTAACGGGAATCCAAATTCAAAATAAAGACAATAAAAACATCAAAGAACCGCGAAAAACTAAATATCAAACTTGATTCGTTATTTAACAACGGATCCGTAGACTTTGTGGGACAAGTGGAGTCCTGTCAATAAACGTCATTGGTCACGTGAGTCAAATCTCAGTTTGGCCCAAGTTTCGAAATCTTTTAAGTTTTCTGAAATGTGCTAAATGCTGGCAAAAAAATTTATTATTTTATCTCTTTCATGCTTTTGTTGTTGTTGTTGTTGTTAATTTACATCGCACTAGAGCTGCACAATGGGCTATTGGCGACGGTCTGGGAAACATCGCAGAGGATGATCCGAAGACATGCCATCACAATTTTGATCCTCTGCGGAGGGGATGGCACCCCCGCTTCGGTAGCCCGACGACCTGCGCGCGAAGTCGAGCACTTTACAGTAGCACAGTTTAACGAGGACCAATACCGCACACCCTCGGTCCCTACGCATTCTGATCCAAGTGGTCACCCACCCGCACACTCACCACTCGCACACTCCCTTTCCTCTCCTCCCCTTTGCAGTTGTATAGGAATGTAGAAGGATATTTTTCCTTTTCTTAATCCTCTTTTCCTTTCTCTCCACACGTTGAAGATGAAAGCATGCGATATATATATATATATATATATATACATACGAGGGTTGTACATAAAATAAGGTTCCCAAGGGGCTGCAGACGTTAGGAACTCTGTTAGGCGAGACTGGCATGCAGCTGGGCTCCCTTTCTCCCAGTTTCCGCCCCGGTGAAAAGTCTACAACTTTCATTCTTGTCTTGGTTGCCGTGAAAGACGGAGCTTCTATTTGTTTCTCACGCCAGATGCGAATTACGCTCTGTAATTAGTTTTTTGTGTGCAAAAAGTGTTCCTCCGGTGGACATTCATTCCCAACTGTGTGAGTTGTATGGGGAAAAGTGAATGAGTTTGCAACATGTGCGCAAATAGTGCAGAGAATTCAAAGATCGACGTACAGACGTCCATGACGAACAACGTTCTGGCCGGTCATCGTTTTCGAACGCAGCTATTGCGAAAGTGGAAGAAGCAATGCTGAAAGATCGAAGGGTGATGGTTCGGGACCTCAGCGAGATGACCCCTGATGTCAGAAAGTCCTGCATTCATAACATTTTGAGAGACCGCTTAGAATATGCCAAGGTTTGTGCAAGGTGGGTCCCGAAAATGCTGACGAATGACAGCAAACGGCAAAGTGTGAAAGCGGCCAGCGAATATCTTCATGCCTACGAAACCGATGGCGAGGAATATTTGGACTCTGTTGTCACTGGGGACGAGACCTAGGTCCATTACATGATACCGGAAACAAAAGAACAATCCCGTCAGTGAAAACATCCAGGCTCGCCGAAGCCGAAGAAGTTTAAGAAAATTCTGTCTGCCGACAAAGTGATGGCGAATTGGTGAATTGAAGTGTTTAATTATAAGACATAGAAACGCAATATAACACTGCTGTGTATTTTTTTATAATTCGAAATAAAGTTTTATGCAGATCGCTCTGTTACTTGAATATTTGTAAGTGCTGGAGTTCTATTGAAACTTCGGGACTCGTTCCTGCGACCTTCTCCCCCGTGGTGCAGCAGGAATTAAGCACCTCGACCACTTGAGCTACAGTGAATTTTGTGCTAATGCAGTGTAGAGTACGAATACGTGTGTATTGTCTTCGTATCATAGAAAAGGGAAAATACCGAGATCATCTCTAAGAAATCATTAGTGTTGCCATATTAAGAAGTTAACAATGAAATCTTACAAATTTTACTTCAATTAAAATTTTCGCTGGGATTCTTTATATGTAGGTATTTTATTTATTTCACACTGGAGCTGCACAATCGGCTATTGGCGAAGGTCTGGGAAACATCCCTGATGATGATCCGAAGACATGCCCCCGCAATTTTGATCCTCTGCTGAGGGGATGGCTCCCCTGCTTTGGTAGCCCGACTATCTGCTCTCGAAGTTGAGCACTTCACATTTGAACAGTTCAACGAGGACCGATATCGCGCACCCTCGGTCCCCACTCAGGCTGATCAAAATGGTCACCCATCAGCTTACTGACAGCAGTAAGTGATGCTTGACTTCGGTGTTCTATTGGGAACCGTGTCTTTACGATCAGTCCACTGCGGGAGCACTAAAAAAACGAATAGTGTACATACAAGGAGCAAATTAACTATAAGTATCTCTATCTAATAGGTATCTGAACACCCCCCCCCCATCTCAGAAGGATTATCAGGATAATCCAAAAGTCGGTTTTCGTTTGTGTAAATAATAATGTGACGAATGTATGGTGGCAAGTTTCCTAACGAATATTATTAACTTTATTGCTGAAAAATGTTGAGAAAAAAGTCCTCAAATTCTAAAAATTATCAGTTACCTTTTCTCCCGATCAGGGCCACTTAATATTTCAAAGGTTTCATGGCATCAAGTTGCAATCTATCACCAAGCGTTTGTTGAAAACAAAAGAAAATCAAATCGAAATAGCAAAGAGGTCGGGATAGCCTGGTCGGTAGGGCACTGGTCCCATGTCCGACAGTTCATGAGTTCGAACCCCTCCGGCCGAAGACTCCCCATGCAGTAAATGGTGACCAATGCACGTTAAATCTGTCGAGTCGCAAAGTCCACCATATTCCCACAACAAATCAAAACCTCTGGGGATACTGGATTGGAGATTGATCATTTTCTAATTCGGGTCAAAATTAAGATCTGTGGATGAAGGAATGGATGTATGAATAGGTCCGCCCTATAAACGGGTGTGGTTGAAGTCGAATTCTTGGCTATAGATGGCGCCACTGGAAAACAAGAACAATCGCACCCTTCTGCCTAAAACAGGCATATAAGCGAGAGCAAAAATGCGGAATTCAACCTAAATCTAAAATAGTGAGGGTTATGTCTCTTTAATATTTAATTAATCAAAAACGCTATTAAGTATTGTAAATATAACTTAATTTAATGTAGACATAATTTTGGATGTGTTAATTTAGAAACTTTCCTGCTCTCTTCTTTACGTCCCCCCTTTTTTTTCAGGTAAAAAGGGTTGTTTTGTGGGGTAGAATTGAATTTCTTCTAGACAGACAAGTGAGGTATTGAGACGTTGTTTCCACCTATTTTTTGAAGGTGAACTGAATGAAATTATACACAAGTCATTAGAATAGTTCAAAAGTTGCAAGACTTTTTATATAGTATTACTTTTAACTCGTATTTATGTATACACTTTACATTATCATCTAGGTACTATCTGAACACGAAAAGTATATATTTCAATGAATCCTTCAAGCTGAACTGAATGCTAGAATAGTTCAGAAGTTATGAAGATTTTCTTCATAAGAGCAATTCAAAAATTGAACATTTTATACTTAAAAAAAGTCACATTCCAACTTTTTAAATATTTGTCCTGTTGACTCGTGTTTATTCTCATAGGATTATGTTAGAAAAATCTACACAAGAAACAGTACCTCATTAGTCTATCTAGCAATGTAGATGTGTAAATAAGTGCATGTACAAAATTGTACTATTTATACATAAAACTCATAAATTCTAAATAATTTGTTCCATCGTCATAGTATTGGTTTTATTTAAGTCAGCATACAAAATTGTTACAGAAAACATGTCTTACGTGTGTTAATAATTCGTGTAGTAATGTTGTTGTTGTAGTTAATTTACGCCGCAATAGAGTTGCACAATGGGCTATTGGCGACGGTCTGGGAAACATCCCTGAGGATGATCCGAAGACATGCCATCACAATTTTGATCCTCTGCGGAGGGGATGGCACCCCCGCTTCGGTAGCCCGACGACCTGCGCGCGAAGTCGAGCACTTTACGGTAGCACAGTTTAACGAGGACCAATACCGCACACCCTCGGTCCCTACGCAGNAAAAAAAAACTAAACTTGACTTCGGGGATCTGCTGGGAACCGTGTCTTAACGATCAGTCCACTGCGGGACATATAGTAATGTAAAGGGTATAAATTAGTCCGCATCAACCGTAATACTTCCTTCGCATACAACTTGCACCAACCACATTGCTAACGTAAATTATCCTCAGTGGTAGATGGATCATGGGTTTGAGTCCCCTAGCCGTCAGGCTAACTGTGGGAGGTTTTCGTGGTATTTCTCACCATGTAACTCAAATACGAGTTAGTTTCTTCAAAAAGTCCTTTATGAAGGCAATTTTCATCCGATACTTGATCCAGGAGTTCCCTTGTCTGCTGGGTTGGACGCAAAATTACAAGGCTACGGATTAGAACATAGGTAGTAGCAAACTTAAGGTATCTGACTACCACAAAAATGCTAATTATGACGAAATTATCGATTTTTTTATTTGCATTTATTAATTCCGCTACTTTCTACTTTCTAAAAATATACCTTACTTTTTATTCTATTCACATTACTTATGAAGTTACAGCAGTGTTTGTGTGTAGAGAGTTCGATAAAATTAAACCGCAAGCTGGAAATCAAAACCGGAAGTCATTACATTTTAGCGAATTATTATATTTTTTCGGTGCTTTACTTAATATTTTTAAAAAATATTAATTATTTTAAGTTTATAATTCGCTATCGCAACCCTCGAGTACGCCATCTAGCGGGAGACTGAAAATATCGGACATTAACTCCCACAAAACCATTGGCAATGACGGACGCAATTTTATTAGCAGCAAATAAGAAGCAAAATTTCCCTAAGGAAAAGGTAGAATTTCTTGAAAAAACTAACCAGAACATGCCAAACATTGAAGCAGAACACGCCAAGCATTTGAAGAACAATTTCTCAATAATTTTTACCTTTCTATTACATATTTGCAGAAAAACAATACT